GATTTGTCCATAATGAAATATAGATCATTGTGATTTATGAAATCATGAGCTAAACAATGTCAATTCGGAGTAAGTGTTATCCTGTTCGAGTAGATATTCGGGCCCGGTCATATTCGTCGCACGATCGCCGTGCGATTGCAAACTGTAGGTATTTGGGGAAAAGTCGTACATCATGTACAAATTCAGTTGTGTTCATACAGAAGAGGGTATCTTAAATCCTTGTAGGAGTTTGGCTGTGGCGGCCTGCTCTACGACATCAAAATCGTAGGGCGGCCTACGACGACTGTGACCGCGCCGTAAAGCACTTCGGGTTTGCTAATATGTTCTGGCAAGGCCGTGTTTACTGCCCTCAAGTCGGACTCTGGCGTCGACCGCTCTCTTCCCCCGCTCCCTGTGCTCTGGGTGAAGCTAGTGCGCCATTCGCGGGCTTGGTGATGCCGCCCAGGGCACCTGTGTCGGCGTGGAAGTCACCTTTCCATTTAGACATGGGTTCTGGGTCGGGCTGGAGCTGACCCCTTCTCTCTCGCACCCTCACTTGGGACAGGCAAGTCGCGCCATTTTTTTTTAAAGCCAGGCTGCTTGACTGACGCCCCCAAAATGTAGCAATCTCGTACTTCACTGGCCATAATTGCCACAGTAATTAGGTGACAAAGTGTCCGAAATGTTGGTTGGTACAGACAGGCTAGTTCTGAATCACCAGGATAACTGGAAGACGAAAAACTGCAGGACGAATTTGAGCTTGACCTTTGACCACCACCTGCAGCGTAATGACCGTTTGAGAGTTACTTAAATGAAGGCGTGTCCTTAGCTATTCACGACATCAACTTTCTTAATGTACCAAAGTACAGTATATATTTGTTTCTCGCTGGACGATAAGAGAACTTGCAATAATTATCTTGGCAAGATGCCATGATGGGCTTGGAGATGTTTGATATCAACTAGTACGCTGCGGGCGCAACTGACCTTATCCGTATTGACAAAGTTCTGAGAGCAAGAACAATATATCTGAACCTGAATCTGTTGTCTGCCAGATTCCAAACTATGGTTGGTACCTTTCTGTCGTATCCAGAATTATGCCTATCTAGTTCATTGCCTGAATTCGAATGGGTTACGGTTAGGATCAGACACGGTTCTGGATAGTCTTCGTGTATCCAAGAACGTATGTTTGCCTCAGGTACGGTTCTGAATACGCTTGGACTATCCAGAACCGTGCCTTTTAAAGCAAGGCTCTGGATACAAGACTCCCTCCGCCGCGATCCGTGAGTTAGGCAGTTTGGCCGGCTGAAGCCGCGCCAGCCTGATGGTACAACCTGCTGTACTGGAGGAGATAAAGCCATCAGCATCGACGGGTTTATATGCGCGGGAGCCTCGCGTCTCGTTGTGATTATCGTTGGTAAGGTTAACCAATAATCACTTCACTAGCCTGTTGTTAGCCTTCTCATCCTCTCAACACCGGTCTAAAGAACCTCGCGTGATCGCAGGACGCCGCTGAAACACCAGGTGAACTACCCAGTGGGATGTACTCCAGCTAGGTATACAATTCGACTAAAGAACATCTTGCCAGGATTGCCATAGCACATAACGTTACAATACCTGAAGAAATCCGCAACATTGACGTGTATGAAAATTTAGTAGATCGGCAAATAAAATCGATATTTCACGATCGTTAATTGAAACACTCCAGTCATATATGTATCGGCTTTACCAAAGTTGAAGGTGTCCATGCAATGGTGTTTGTTTTTTTACTATGAGCTGGAACCTTACGGCGTCAAAGTGAAAATTGACTTTCAAAAGCATATCATCTAATAGAAAAACATATACATTTAAGTAACTTGAATTGTAGTAAAACCAATGTATCCTTCTGTTTTCTCTGATGTAGATACCAAAAAGTTGAAAGGTGCCGGTGAAATAATATCTGATGTTCTCATGTCACATCCACAGCCATCAGTATGGTTTATCAGCCGAGTTGATAAACTCCCCCTGATTATCGTCGACAATGTCTCCACTAATTTTGGCTTTTATCTGCGGTAATGTCTCACTTGGGTTTGTAACCTGCTGAATGAGAGATGGCAGCGCTTCAGTGATTGGATCAGGTCTCGGTACGCGTGTGTGACCTTGGTCCGGAGGGGGACAGGAACTTGGCACCGAGGTTGACTTTGACTGTAGGAAGATGTGGTTCTGTTGTAGTTTCCCAGTGTCAGACATGTCTCCGAGATAGCAAACCTCCAGGTACCTGCATGTAACCGGGCACAACAGCGCCAACAAGGCGCGGTGCCGCTGCTACATTCGTCCAAGGATTCAGTTGATACCGCGAAATCGTCAGACAGGCTGTGACAGACCCAGCCGCGTATCTTAGTCAGGCTTTACCGTAACAAGATAAATTTTGCAGGACACATGCCCCCAGAATGCCCTCAGTTTGCGTTCGTACGACGATCGTGCGACGTATCTGTGGCTCTTTGCGATCTGTGATGGGATGAGACTGCACATCTGCTTAGAAACCAAGTCCATATTTCTACCATGCAATCATCCTTTCACCAGGACATGCATTTTTTCCGTCAAATAAAGTTTCCCGAAATAAAACATTTTTTTTTCATGTTGATTAAGAATTGCGTTGCTGTGCGCGCCGGCGAGAAGGTGTAAGGCGCAGCACCTGAGCAGCTAACTGGCTGCGGGTTTACTCTCCGTGCAGAGGTTAGGCTTCGGTTTGTTTCGGACGTCTTTTCACGCGTTTTAGTACACACAAAGAAACGCTGACAAAAAAGAAAGACCGACAAAAACGCACTAAACAAGCCTAACCGTTGCTCAGAGAGTATGCGGGTTGTCCTGGGTTCTGAGGGCGGCGGCACCGGACGTGTGTGGGGGAGGGGCGCTCGGGTGCACGCGTGCAGGGCTACTGCATGAGAGATGTCACGGGTCTGCAACCAACGATTGGTGGTGAAATTTTAACTGACTTAACTTATATTCTAGTTTTACAGAATAAAGCAGCAAACTTTTTTCGCGATCGATGGATGATTTACGAAATAATTTTTGGGACGTCTACAACATGATTACGGTATTTACGTGTTGTTATTGTTTTTGTTTACAATCACGAATACAGAATCAACAACCAAGAATCTTAGGAGAAAAATCTATATACTGATTCCATATGAACTCCGAGAATTTTCATTAAAGTTGTTTTTTTTTCCTTCAACTGCGTGCATGATTTCTGCTTACAGTGTTTGCTTCGGCGTTCAATTGTGGTTACAGCGGCCGCTCACGCGCCTGTACCTGTACTCCTGTTCGACTGGCTTGTTCTCGACAGCGAAAGTTCCGTGCGGTGATTAATAGTCATTGCTCATATCCGAATCTGGCGTCCTGCTGCTGCCCCGTGCTTTCCCCTTTGTGCTGCTGAGTCCAGGCTCAACGCCGTTCCCCCATTGTTGGCAGGGTAAACTCACGCCCAACCCAGGAGTAGCTGAGCGGCACGGTGCCCATGTGTGTTTCTAGTAGCAGCTGCCAGCACAGTGATACATACGCGATGTCAAACGGCCGATGTGAGGCGTAATAGAGACATGGCCACACTTGGCCGCACAGCCGCTCCAATATCGCGCGCCGCGGCCGCGGGAGCGCCCAACAATTAAAGAAAACATCATAATGCCACGATTATGAAGATTGTAATGTTGTTGTAATGTAATTGCGCGCAATTGATCCGCTCGCGCATCCAATTCTGCCTCCCCATAATAAAGTTGCTGAACAGCAAAATCATATCGACGCCCGGGCCGGGGTTACTTGATGGATGGGTCGAGCCGAAACGGGTCGCCGCAGGAGGAATACAAATGCTCGCGGCTTCCACTCAACATTTCCCCGGGAGCGACCGCTGGCTGATACGCCCGCGAGGGGAGCTAGGATCGGCCGCTTCCAAAGAGGTATTTAGCCGATTATAAGGAGGCCGAGCTTGGCACACTCGTCAGGTCAAGAGCAAATGTAGCGATATTTGATTTCAGAAGCCACGTGGGACGGACGGGTTCAACGCCACCGTATGAAAGACCACTCGCTTTACTCCCAGTATTTACTTCACGTGGCTGCTCTTGTCTCAGTCCTTGGTACTGAAGCAACTTCCCCCGCTGTACGGTACCGCCATCTGCTGCTGCAACTAATCTAAACCCAGGTCGCGCCGTTTTCTACTTAGATATGAATTTAATATCACAGCAGCGTTCAATATGTACACATAGTAGATCAGGCACCAGCTAACATTGCCAATCGTCCTGGTCTTTCACCCAGAAACGTCATCAGAAGCAATTTCTGGCACGGGCAGCGGGCTTTAATAGAGTAATCATATTTTGCTGAATCTTGATCAGGTAATGCATGCCTTACGGATGCCCCGTGTCTACCTGCTGACAAAAGGATTCCGTATCTCTTCCTAGAAGGAAACTTTGCCGATAACTACGAAATCCTTCCAGACTTACTGGGGCCGAGGCCGTTCGCCCGCCGCTGTTGTCTGCTCCACCGGACCCACCTCATTTGTAGCGCCCGCCCCACGCACCCCTTCGCTCCCCTAGTCATATTTTTTCCATTTCTCCATCTCGTTAAACCCTATTAGATTACCGTAGATGAGTCTTTGGGAGTGAGGTGATATATTTCTATCATTAAGATATCCAAATTAAGGGACCCAATTTTCGTCAGATGGTAAAATCGATACAAGTCGGTTACCTTAATCGCCAAGAGTATTGTTATCCACATCACAAATAGGAAAACCTGGCCGATCTATGCTGATGTAGATAATAGATAACTTTTAGATAACATTTATAATAATGAATAATACACCTGTACGGGTGATATTTTGCCGACCTCTGAGCGACTAGAGCATAAAATCAGGGGGAAAAGAAAGAGATAAAAAGTTGCGTACCTGAGTGTTGATAAAGCGGTGTCGCCACTTGTGTTGGGTGACAGTAAGTGGAATGGGACAATTGCTGAGGTGGAGATGTAGGGATGTGAGCCGGTTTGTTCTGTCTGTTGTACAGGGGTGCCTGATCACACGCAGTGGGGAAAGACCAGTCTGTACTACCACTCTGCGCTGACGGGCCCACAGACCTGTGACAATGGTAAGTGCCAACTTCGTGGCTTAACTTCGTGCACGACGAGGAATATATGCAGCAGTATCCCCCTCAGTAATTGCATTAGTTTTCCCGGACCACCTTACCTACCTCTCACCTGCCGTGTGACTGCTCAGTTGTGTTTTGAAATGTTACCTTTAGGCCACGCCGGCTGCAGTTTCCTTCCTTCCCCCACAGACTAGTGGCTCCCGCGCGCTCACACAGGTGAAAAACGGCCAGCAGGCCGATAACCACAACATCCGCATAGGTACATCAATTAAATGAAAGTTAGGGATCAATTGAAGTCCATCTTGGGGGCAATGAGGACTGCACGGAGGATGGCAAGCCAACACAGCGGTAATGTCTTGTAATCACCTTTACTACCTTGTCAACTTTCCGACGATGTAATGTGGCAGAAATCAGTTCAGTCTGTAAAACGGACGGGGTAAAATGTATAATCAAGTCATTTCTGGGCTGCAATTGCCGAAGCCAGGATGAATCGCCGAGGCTTCCCCCCGCCAGTGGCGCACTGCGGTTCTACTAAATTGCCCAACGTATTGCCGCGGAATATTGCTTATATCCGAGAGCAAGGCCGCGCCATACATCACACACTTATCACTATCGTTCGAGATCTATAAATGATGACTTTATTATATGCGTTCATATTGAGAACGTTCCTCACTTCCCGGCCAGCGGTCGACAGATGAATTTTGACTTGGCCGGGCTGGCCGGGTAGGGTTTAGAGTGAGCCAAACAATGGGCTGCACGGGACCGGGAGCGCCTTTTCTACACGCCGGAAACACGCCACTCAATCGGGTAATGAATAGTGGAGTGGGTCGTGCGCCTGTCACTCCAAGTTACAAATACACCATCGTTTACTTTGGTCATTTCTCCATCATTGTTGACTTTTGTTTAGCTGGACGTAATTATTTTTAATTCCTATTTTATTTGCAGTGATCGCCAAACATGTTGCGTTTGAAGTTTTCTAAAAAAAAGTTGCAAGGGATTATTTTATGTCCAACCCTGCGATGACACGGCCCTTTCGTTTTTGACAGGTGAACTGGAAATGAGATCTAAAACAGTTTTTTGTCAGTTTCCTTAAATACCTCGCCCGAAAGTAGAAGATTTGGTTGCTTTCAGGGTGTTGATTTGGATAGCCTTTTGTTTCTCTGTGCCCTTCGCAAAATCGTCTGGAATGAAGGATACGTTAACTGGAGGCTGCGGACGGGAGACGTCGTAAAAGAAGTTCTAATCTTAAGTAGGATGGATGTGTGAAGTAGAGAAGTTCGCTTTGAGCCGCAGTGCCCTAAATTTCGAGTCCGTTTGGTGAGCAGATGGTCACATCATAAGGAGCTTATTGAATTATGATTATTCATACGTGGTGCCCGCGTCGGTGCGTTACGAGCGTTTGAGTGCGCACACAAGCGCGACAGGCGAAAGGTGCTGCCCCTTGTATTGGTCTCTTAAGTCTCCAGTGTTGGAGTGACCGCTCGCCACCTAGAACACGTAACAGCCATTGGGGATGGTGCTTAGACTCCCGCCCGCCGCGTGCTCTACCCACCCTGCATCAATGTCTGCCAGCCATTGATCGAAGTAAATTGAAAAATCCCTCGAAAATCCGATGCGTACCACCTGCCATGTTTTATGAGATTGGCGAGCCTTACCTTTGCCTATTGTCAATTTCGGCCGTCAACAAAATTGAGGCATTCCTTCAAACTCCCATGTTGTATATTTGACTGTCCATATAACAAGCTGTGAAAAACCTTGATCGTATTTCTTTCAATATGTAAAGGAAGAAATAAATGAGCGTTACAATTTCTGTTTTTTTTTCCTAAAAAATGATCTCAGTATTCCTAGTTTCCATTCTCGTAGCCTTCTAAGAATTACTCCCACCGATATCGAGTTACCTTTTTACATATTTTTTTTCACAATGCGAATTATGATTCATCATGAATTGGTTTATGCTATTGGTATGCCTGTAATGATTAAGCGTCGGGTAGCCTTTAATTTCCACCACTGATGCCCCTGTCATACTTTAATTATGCAACTTCGTTAATGTTAATCCGTCGCCGTCTGCCAATTTTTGGCGAAACTTCCGCGTGTCTTTGCTTGTTATTTATGCAGTTTTTAAATGATTGTGGTGAGGTGATATCCTTATGATTTTTGTGGACAGCTGTGTGCGTGCAATATCAGAATACAATTCGTCCACACTCGCCACATGTCAGCTCAAACATTTGCTCCCTGAACTGCTGGAACTGAAAGCCGTGATTAGTGATTATGAGAAATATTTCTTGTTGTTCTTCCTTCCCTTGCAAAACTTCCACATTGACCAGGAGCTCATAGCTAGAGGGATTAGAAGTCAGGACGGATAATTGGTTTTGAGAAATACAGTGGACCTGTTCCCATACATGTAGCTTCTTTGTAATTCTGTTGTAATTTTTCTTGTTTTACCGCGCAGGTGGAATGGCACTAGAGAGGAGGAAAGACCTCTGAAGAAGCAAGGGCGGCGCTCTTGTCGTGTGTCTCGAACAGTTTTATTTATTCGGTTTATTGAACAATGTCGTTCCCTCTTTCGGCGGGGTATCTGAATGTTGGCACCCGCGGGATGGCAGAAGGCGCGGGTGTAAATAATTCATCGCAGATTGATTTATTCATTCCATACATAACGACGTCCCGCCACAAACGACTCCCCTTTCAATCTCCCCCTGTCCACATCACACAGCTCCGATCATTTCACTTCACCAGCCAAAAAACTGACCTTTCTTTTTCTCTCACCAAAAATTGGCCCATGTCGGCAATTTTTGTATCTTTTTTTGCTGCTCTTGTGCGCCCTAACAGCGGTAATGACTGTCCCCTTGCGAGGACCTATGTGATGTTGACAACCAAAAACAGTGTTTGACGTGTAACGCTCCATTATCACACTAGTGCGCCGTATACACGAACACATAAGCTGTACTCTCACACTCACACAGTACATTCGATATTGTTGTAACGCAGTTGTAAATTGACTTGTAAAATTTTCCAGAATTTGACATTAAATTGGTAAATTCGCTTGGATACGTATTTTGATACACGCATTTTTCTTACCCTCTTTATTTTGCGCAAGAATTTGGCCTTTGGTAAATTTTGACCTGTTTTTTTATTGGTGCACATTTTTCTCGACCTCATTCTTTTGCCAGTTTAAGCCTATTCTCTATGCGATTTAAGTAGCCTTTGCAACTCTACAATACATTTTTACTTTCTTCAATAGTCTTGACCTATTGAAGTAAGGTGATAATCACATTTTATAACAACTTCATTCAAGTCATGCACAGAACAGATCTGAAGTTTCTTACCTTTATCTTACAGCAAAGAAGATGGTGAAAACGGTTCTCCTTTGACTCTGCGACCAAAGTACGCTTTTGTAGTCAAGCGAAGACATTGTTGTATCTAATTGTCTTCTGCCCACACAACTAGATGAAGCATTCCCGACCATTTCATATCACTTTTTTAGTTCCTTTAAAAAGCGGTAACATCGCGGACAACTTTTGTATTAAAGCAGGAACCGGACGGCATTCATTGAGGGCATTGAGTGATCCGGGAAAAAACGATAGGGAAGCCCCGGTGATTACCTTGATTCGTCTCAGAGGGAAAACAACAGCCCTTTTATTTTGCATCCACCGAGGATTCAGATTAAAAAGCAGCACATATACCGACTATCATCTCCTCTATCATATATTGTTTATGAATTGAAATAAATCCATCCCAACCATGTGTTTTGGAGACGCCCAAAGAAGAATATAGCACAGTTTTTATGGAGGTGAGGTGTGCAGAAAAAAACTCCATCTGTAACTGCTAATGACATGTTGATCTTTCCTAGCCATATAGGCTTAGAAATTTGAATCACCGGATTTGTCTAAATATATATTCTTATTACCATACTTACGGACTAGATTAACAAGAAATTGTTGGTATCGCTGTAAATACAAATCTAGAATGTCCCATTCATCCGGTCAGTTCTGACAGCCTGCGGTGAAGCCTGTCGATACCGGACGTCGCCAGGAGACTCTCTTCTGTCAAGTTCCTCCCAAAATGGTTTTTGCTTTGATCTATCCGATGTAATTGCCGTTTAACTCTTATCTTTGGACAGAAATTTGATTTTGCCTGCCGGTGATATGAGTATGAGCGTTGTATGATGGGACAGTGATGTTGAGGGATGATCGGACAGACCAAACTGCCCGCTGGTACCACGTGACAACCGCTGGGGACAGGCATAAGTAGACACTTCGCTAAAATAAGAAAAAAGAAGCAAAAATCGTGTCACGGACAGCTTATGTGTTGGTCAGTGATGTTGTCCATTGTTGCGCCTCTTACAAGTACTTATAACCGATTTAGCCACATTAATGATGAAAGTCCTTTATTCATTGCTTTGAAAGACCAAGCACAGGTCGTCTCTCGAATGAGTTGATAAACATGTAACAACCAAATATAGGAAAGTATAGACCACAATAAAGTTAAACGTGCATAGTATACATGAAACTTCTGAAAGTGCGTCTCAGATTTATATACAGAGTATATATACAAACGTATGCCTGTGTGACAGACATAACTCTTTGAACCACAGAATAGGCACCCCGGTACTTTTGGTGTTGTATTGTTGTCAATTTATTATTGCTTCTCTAACAAGTACTTATTTAAGTTATAACCAAAAGAGTGCGGCTCAGATTTATTTATGGAGGTTCCTATATAGTATATACACACATGTGTGACGGACAAAATGAATGAATGAAGTTTTATTGCTCGACTATTTTACAAGGTATACAACGACTAATCTGTCCTACATTTATGACTACAAAATATTATCGATACTGGTATAGCTGTTCTTAGCCACAGAACAGGCACCCAGGTACCTCCTGTTGTATTGTCAAAGAGAAAGTGAGTACGTGCCAAGGTGTGATTGTGTTGTAGTGCATGTGTGATCGCAGTGCCGGTGGAACTGACAGCTGATATATGACAGGTGTAGGCGGAGTTTGGCCCGGCCGGACGCCCCATCTGTTTCCCGCGCCCAGTTATATCCCTGGACCGAGACGACACGATCGGTCAATTACCGTGATATATGTGCTGGGGGAAAGGTTAAGCAGTACTGCTAGTTACATTGAAATATTGTGGATGTCAGTAACACAATATTTATTGGTGTATCTCCGAGCGGGCACCTCAAAAAATTCAGCAGCAAAATTAATAACGGGGAGCTCAGGGGTTATGCAGCGGTCTTGGTCCCTAGCCACCCTTAGCGGCCTGAACTTTCGATTTTTTCGCGGTTTTTCTTCCCATTAGTTCACGGCGCGTGGCGGCGCCCTCCACTCACGCAGTGGCGAATCTCATTGATGGAACCAACCCATCTTCTAGGTCATCTTCCCGAGGCCAGATATCTGCGCACGTTATCACATGGCTGTGACAGCATGCGACGCGCAGGTAGAAACAGACAGCGAGTTTTTACACGCCGTGTATACCTTGGCGTCTCGCTTATTTTTCAATCAATTTTCACTGCGCCCCTTCGCAAAATGTTGTTCCCGACGATCGAAGACGTCATTTACATCGACACAATTGAGAGAAGGGGTGTATTATCCCCGTGTTTCTAATACATCCTGCAGAGAGGGAAGCAGGCTCAATACCAATAAAGTAGGATGGAGAAGTGCTTCCGTTGGACATTTTCCTGGAGATAGTGAAGGCCAGTTCTGCCCCACAAGTCATTCCTACAGGAGAGATCTTCATTTGCCCGTGCGGAAGCCGCTTAGCTGCATTGGAGAGTCCCTTCACGCCCCTAGTCATTTTACGGCGTCGGTCGCGCGCTGCCAGCGGCTCAGCGGTAAAGGCCAGTGATTTGATCAAATGTGGCTGTGGCTAAAGGGAGACAAATGGGCAAAACCTGTCCCAGCCAACTTGTACAGTTTTAACGGGCCGTTGCACCGCAATGGAAACAAAACGAGTGCGTGCGGGAATGGACTAAAAATCACTCCACGCAGTCGGCACAAATCCCATTAATTTTTCCAAATCTCGTCAATTTTCCGAGCTTACCTCTTCCCCGGCCCAGCGGATATCGGAAACGCGAAAACGGTCGCGTTTAGATAAGTGTAGGGTCGGGAGTGGGATTGGACATGGCGATGTGAGAATAATGAAATGTGTCACACACGTGCGGTTTGACCCTCCGCCTTTGACTCTGTTAATTCTATGCCGGTCTGTCATTTGTGTTGTCGCAAAACGCTCCTCACGGAGGCCGCTGGATGTTTCAGCAGACAAGTCATATGGTAACTACCACCAAGCCCGCTCCACGATCATTTAATTTGTGTGTTTGGGTTTTTAAATGATGAAATAAGAACGCGACTGCCACGTGCCTTCTTCGGTTCAGTACACAGAAAAGTTTTCCGCATTTATATACACAAACCCCCCTCTATGGCACTGGTAGTTGGTGATAAATAACTCCCAATTTACTTTCAGCTAAACTGCTGAAAGCAGGTTGCGTTCTTAGCAGTTGTGGTGTAATCTCGGTCATGGGAAAGGAACAAAACTCAAAACAGATGGAGGAGGTATACGTCAATTCAAACCAGCCTTCTAACTGTTTAACTTGAAAAAGGACAACGGGTGAATTAGCGATGTACTGACCCACTACGGCCCGTAGCTGTTTACAAATTTGGAGCAAATTATCACGAAAGTTCAAGTTGCTTTGTGCAGAGGATTTACCCTGCCAAAGAATGCGTTCTAACAGTCTGACTAGGAGTAATTGCGGCCCATAGGTGGTGGTTACAAGCTCAACAGCTCGTCAGAAGTGCGGTGGAGTGCGCCTTATACTTCCTTGTTTACTTTCGGCCCATGCAGAAATTGTTGTTGTCTAAACATATTCGGGATTAATTATGTAAATATCTGCATTAGCCAGACTTTTGATTGGATAAGATGACGATTACGTGCTCCGCAAAGGAAGCTAGTGACGTGTATTGATCGCGAACCTACGGGGGGTGTAATTGATTAGCGTAGTAATGATTCACGGGGCGATGTGATTGGTCGTGTAGAACTCCAGACATGCCCAGCTGCCTTATATGGCGAAAATGAAGCGTCTATTGGCTGTCAAACGCAGGCCCCTAGGGATATTCACCCTCCCTTGGGACATCGCTCCCATTGGGAAAAGCGAGCTACACGGGAACACTTGAAGCAAACAAAAGCCGCCCCCACGAGACCTAGGCCCCAAATCGGATCTCCGAGTGCAAGGCTACACTTCAATGGTAATCATTTTAGCTCATCTGTCGTTCAGTACGTTCTGCGGCCCAACAGCTTTATCACTGAATTTGTACTTTTTCCCCGATCGCATGTTGTATGAAAGAGGTCGTCCCGCGCTCGTAGGTTTCCATCCCGCATCCAAGCTGGATATAATTTCTGCGAATGTAATTTTTCCGCCGCTCGTCGTGTGATGATCGAGTGAGCGTGTCCGTGTTGTTGTTGTACACGCGAGGTCCTTGTCTGTAGTTAATACAGTTAATGTTGACCGTGGTTTCCAAAGATCGTATCCTCGGAGTCGTTGAAGTTGTTTGGTTTGGGTTAAAGCAGGGAAAAGTTGCGATCTTTGGGTGTTGAGGAATTGTTCATGTTTGACATTCAGGATACGTTACCGCGAGGGACCACAACGCTGAAAGAAGAACCTCTCGGAAGCCAGATCGGTAGCGTACGCAACTGGATGCAGCCGTCCATCGTCGACCAGACCGCCACGAGGTACCGTACTCACACATTTGCCTTCCTCGGGCCCTCGGGCCCCTATCCCGGCCCAATGTAGTCCATGCTTACGATGTTTCACCGATGATGGCCACACGTGGTCTTGTTATTATGAGTTGAGACATGGTCTTTACCGTCCCGTACCATCTCACTTCCCCTTCAGCGGGTCTGTAGGACTTGCCCGGGCACACTTCGAGAAACAGCCGCCAAGCAATCTTCGAAAGAGCAACTTCTTCCACTTCGTTATAGCCCTGTATGACCGCCAAGGCCAGCCCGTCGAAATTGAGCGGACGGCGTTCATCGACTTCGTGGAGAAAGACAGGGTACGTAGTCGTTTCCGCGGGCAGTCCTGCTAGCCGTACCGCGGCGCCGTCCGTTGTTCTTCTACCTCCGCTGTACTTGCGGGACCGCAGCTGGTTCTTTGGGGAACAATCTTTATTGTGCTACGGGACGCTCCCCACTGATTAATCGCAACATAAACCCAGTGTATCTGTGAATGAATCCCACAGCACATGTAATATTTAGTTGACTGGTGAGACTCCTGTTATATTTTTCTGACTTCCACGTACATGAACCTTGACGCTATTATGGATATCGTGTGTAACGTTATTACAATAGCAATAATACCACCGGGCTATCCGATTGTCTGTCAGTGTTGTGAGTTTATTTTCCAACTACCGACACCCATTGTAGATTTCTCCTCAGGAAACTGCCGGAGAAAATACCAGGAATGGCATCCACTACCGACTGCAGCTTCTCTACAGTAACGGTAAGTCGTGTGACTCATATTTTTGCCCCGATCTTTCCTGGTCTCCTTCCTGTCTTGCCCCGGGGCGTGGATCAATTTCAGGAGCGAAAACTGGAGCCAGGACTCGACTAACATGATCGTAGAGACCGCATTGGCTTCCGACCGGGTCTCAGTGGATGTCACTATGTTGCCAAATGGCGCAAATGTACACGAGAAAAGTAACAACAATGTAACAGGCGTTGAGCGGACCGCTATTGTTTGTGTACGTTGATGCAGGGCTTCCTGACCCCGTAACCGTAATGTAAATGTACCACAGACGGGCGCTTCCCACACATTCATCTTGATTTTAGGCCGTACTGAGAAGCCCTCCGTAAATTTGTCCGTCATATTGAAGGATCGACAATCACATGTAAGCCCAGTGTTAGTCTAAGGAAAAAGGGGAAGCCCCTCGGAGGTAAATATTGTGAGAATTGACGCACGCCCTCTACACCTCACATGTATGCCACCGGGTCGGCCCTCCTCCCTTCTCGGGCGACCTGCTTCCCTTTACTGCACGCTTCAGCGTGCATCGTTCCCTTGACCTCATGGTCCAACGGGCTCCCAGTACGACTGATATCCAAGTCTACAAGATCTCCAACATAACGAGCGGAATTCCGCTCAGTACGGCCCAGGCCGAACGAAGGGTTTCCCCTGTCAATTTTAGCCGTGATAAATATTCATTTGAGAGCTGAAGTGAGATTTCGATCTCGCTATACGCATTAAACTAATTTTGACGGCATTTTTCTGGTGTGTGCCCTGTATCCTGTTCAGGCGTGCGGACGGAACAAGACCTCTATGTTCGGTTGATCGACAGCATGACCAAGCAGGTAAAGAAGCATTCACAGTGCAATTATTTCCCCTTACACACTACAATGTCATTGTCTGCTTCATTTTCTATGCAAGTCTGCCATGTTATCAACGCCCCACATACTGTCAAGGATGCTAGGACCATCTAGGGGTTAGTCTTCTTCGATCTGTGCGGCTAGCGTATTTCTCAGCAGCATGATCTTAGGACAGCATTGATGCAGGCTTGTCTACAGCATTGCCCCTAGCAAGCTCGGTTATTCTAGATTTAAGGCTAAACATTGTAATTACTTGGTTAGCCATCTGGGCTTGGCACCCTATTTGGAATCCCTGAGTGTATCTAGAGGTAGCAGAAGATGGTGTTGACCTGAAGAGGCAGAGGCAATAAATCTTGGGGAGTAGGAAGTAGTGAGAGATTAGAGGGGATAAGTATGTGTGGAGAGGCAATCAGTGAGATGGCACATGTTACATGCATGTTCCCCACACACCTTGGAGTGCCTGGACCCACCGAAAAAAGGAGAAATCTATATTTGTATGAATAACTTTGCACAAAGACGTCTTTGAAATGTTGAGTATATTTCAGATGATGAAAAAATGCTCTAATTCAGGATCATATTGTATTTGGAAATAAAAATTTTTGAAAATACATCATCCAAAGTTGGGAAAATTCTCACCATGAAAACAATAGCAAAGTTTCTTTTTTTATGAAGCACCTATTGTGCAAGTAAGTTGTCCCAAATATTTTTAATCAATACCGGCTATGAATAAAAGAAAAAAAATTAAATTGGCAGTTTAGAGTGAAATCTGAACATTTATGTTTACATAACAAAGCATGTTTGTGTTTTAATATAGGAAAATATTTGGACTATGATCATGTTTATATTTTGCAATTGCAACAGTTTTGATATTTTTCACTCACATTTGGCCGAGTAGCAGCTCCTAACTAAGACAAATGACTTGCCAGCCAAGCGGTACATTTGTGTCTGTAAGAACAGTTGCCGGCCACACCTCTATGGCCTTTGTTGTCCTGGCTTGTGGCTATTGTCACTGGGGCATTGTTGTCTGGAATTGGGAACGTGCACAACCCCTTGACATGTCACGTTCTGGGTGTGTGGTTGTTGCTATCAAAAAAGCTTCCATTCACATGTGAGAAGATTGCTTTAAGGGCCCTTCACATGGAGGGTATCATTGTTAAGTACAGGGAACTTAATTCACGCATTCATAACACTATAGAACATGATATTAAAAATATAATGGTGCTTTCTCATCTGTTGTTGTGATGTGCATTATTACTGAGAATGAAGCGAGGAATGCAGCATTTGTGAACAATCTGTACATTTCTGTCTTGCTGCAATATTTCTGAACATGTGGAATGCTGTGTTGAAGGGAAATATCGGGATATTATAAAAAAATATAAGGTTGCAAATGTACCTCTCAAGTGCGTCATGTGTCGTTTTGCAATCAACAATATGACGCTGCTGCCAATTGGCTGTTTTGTGGAAACAGTATTAAAGGATGCGATGGAAGAGGTTATGGTGTGATATGTTGGTTGGTTGCTTGTGCCGTACATACAAAGTGCATGATGTAGAATATAAATACCAGTGTTTGCACGCTCACAATGCATGCTCCCTCCTGCCCTACATCTTACAGGCTATCGTGTACGAGGGACAAGACAAAAACCCTGAAATGCAACGGGTCTTGCTCACTCATGAAATAATGTGCAGGTTAGTATTTGCCGTTTTCTCCTTGCCAGTTGTAAATCCTACGAATGTATGCAGTATTCATATTGCTTGCTGCTGACAACTTTACATATGCTTCATTGTGTAGAGTCACTAATTGCCTATAGCTGGACCTCCCATCTGCCATATGGACCTGAATTTCACGTTTTTTTCCTGTTTTTCTTGCAGCCGGTGTTGCGACAAAAAGAGCTGTGGAAACCGCAATGAAACACCTTCAGACCCTGTCATTATCGACAGGTAAGGAGCAAACACCTTTTTAAAGACAAATATCATGATTAAAGTAAAGTGTATTGTGTGCCACAGACGACCACCGAATTTTCACCAAGGGGGGCAGCAGCAAATTCCGAATATTCCTTTCTTTGTTTCACTCTTTGTTGGGCTGTGATTGAAGACAGTGAAATCAAGCGCCTGTACTATGCCTTGGGACAAATTCACTATCTAGGCCCGAGTTATCATCTAATCCTTCCAGTGGCTTGAAAAGGATTTTCCAATATAGAAACCAATTGCAGAAAGCATTGGCTAAATTGGCAGTGGCTATCAGACTCTGCCATCACAGCTGAAGCTGGAATTATGCTGGCATGGTTACAGCAGCGCAGATATAATGATAATTCATAATGTTGTGATTCAAGCATTTGTGTATAAACATCGTTACCACACAGTTGATTTTATTCTATGCAGTATGTCCTTATGGGAAACTGAATTATGCATAGTTCACCACAGGAAGTTGTGACACAGAGCAATGTTTTGATCTGAAGTGGGATGGATTCAGGTGGTTGTCAAATGGTGTGTATAAGTAGTTTGGACCCAAGGAAGACAGCAGATCTTTCATTATCATTATGGTAGTACTCACCAAGAGGGCTTGTGCTGCAAGTCTTGATTTGTTATCAGATATCAACAATTTTCCCCGCCTATCAGCTATAATTTTTGGTAGACGGTGAGATTGTGGCCAGACAGTGCAATATTTGACTTGCTGGAACCTCATCCTTGATCTTTTCTGATTATCTCTCTTTCCATGAAACAAAAGGTAACAGTTAGCAAACATTGTTTATTTTACTTCCATTTCCAACATGAAGATGTATGGTTTTAGTGTGGCTGTTTTGTGTGTAATATTGTGTTTTTTCTGCCATGGAGGCAATTTTGGAAATTCCTTTGTAAGATACCTTTGCCTGTTTAGCAGATTCGAATCCAAACAATGTATCCATGAGGCCATCTGGACAGTTGTTCCCTTATTAAGATATTGAGCAGACGTGTTGGTCCTGTAGAGGATTTAAGCGAACCGGAAAGATAGGGTTACTTTGAAACAGAAGCTTCGCCAGGAATAAACATGAAAATACATCATAAGTTGTTCGTATTTTGAAGGATATGTGAGAATGTGGATGGTTCATATCCCTTTGTCTCTTGATGCAGTGGGGTGATGTAAAAGAGGCAATTTTTTCAAGATAGGGAATTGTTCTAGACATTATAGGCTGATATCAGCCTTGTCCTTGTTTAATTTTTGTGACTGTATGTGGAGCACATCTCAGATATTCATCAGAAATGGTCTCTAAAAAAGTCCTAAACCCAGGTGACTCCTGCTACACACTGGGCCATGGTCGCGTGTTGCACTCTTTGTCTCCTAACTCATTTCTTACTTGCAGGGTCAGGCACTAGTGACCTTTAGCGGCACCAGTACCATGAATTATTTATAAGGCAAAATTATTAGAAATGTACACAGTTGTGTTTTGGGAACATTGGCTTGCCTGTTCCATTTGGGTGTTCTCTGCACCTGTCATGCAATTAGTGCGTTATAATGTTCGTGTTGTGCCCAATTTGGTAGCACTCATTATCTTCTGTAATTTGGACTCATTATGAAATGATCGTACAGGATTGTGACAGCAGTAGTCAGTGTTATATTATACGACATTGTCATGTTATTGTTCTCGTGTGTTTTTAAATCGCATATATTTTTGGGGGTTTGTGTGCAACTGTTGCCAGGGTGAATATGTCTGGATAGCATGGTTGCTATCTGTTTCTGCCTGAGTGTGTTGAAACATCTGTATGCTGAGTTCTGCTGCTGACAGCCAGAAGGAGGTGTACTCCCCTTTTTTTCAGTCTTCCTCTTGAAACCCATCTGAACAGTCATGGAATTTCTTTGCCCACTCCAACTTTGTTTTTTGTTTGTTTTGGTCTATTTGGCTTCATGCTTTGGCTCCTTGTGGCCTAAAGGGTTCATTAGTTTGATAATAATATTTTTGCATGTAGTAATACTGTTGTATCCATGTACTCAGTAGAAGTTTGGAATAGGTTCAACTTCCAAGTCACAAGTTTACCTTGTCTGCAAAAATATTCTATTCTAGTAGTCAGGTATTGTTTGGGTATTGTTTAGCCCCATAGTGACCATACTGCCAGAGGAAAAATCTGTTCTAAAGAAGCAGTAGCAGTGATCCTTCCCAGATAGAAATGTGATGGGAAGAGTTCATATTCATTGGAAAGCATTTTGTCTAAATTGAATCTACAATTGTTGTATCCCACAAGTGACCACAATTTGGCCCACTGGGGCTATAATTAGTTAGGACATAGGGAAGGATCATCACCCTCTTGGCAGGCCTTGACTCACTTTTTCACAAACCTGTCCTGTTAAAGCAGTAGTACGTATTGTTAGATATTTGGTCATGCTAGCCTATGTATGATTCAAGCATCACCAGCGAAGTGTTGGCTTTCCTCTCTGGCAGTTCTTAAGTTGAGATTTATTTTTCAGCCCTTATCTGTTGGCCTGCTTCCGTTGCCAGTTAAGGATCTTCAGCAGTGCCTTGGTGTTGATTGTTTACTTGGAGAGAAATCTAGGACGCCCCAGCTCTAATGTCTTATCAATTTTTAAAGAGCAGAGAGCGGCCTATCACCCTTCCATACCAACCAAATCCATCACCAGGGAATTAAGCCAGCTCACTTGTTGAGCCAGCATTCAAAGGAGCCCGCCAAAATCCATTGCTTAAAAGCCATCTGAAAAGGTCTGAGGTTGCCCCTGTCCATTTCAGGGGGCCAGCATAAAGTCGGCTCCCTCCCTTTGCATGCTACCATTATTAATGTATTAGAGTTCTTTTGTGGTGGAGTCATTAGCTTGTTGAGCACTATTTTGATAATGCATGGTGCGGGGAGCAGGTGAGGGAACTTAATTGCTCCGTGCACGTAAAAATGGTTTATGGGCTGTTAAGGATGCAATTGTGCTGACTCCTCATCAAATCTGGCTTTCTCCAGTATACAGTTAGAATTGTCTGCCTTTGTTTATGTGGACTGACAACATTAAGTATGTCTATGTACATAGCAAACAGCCCTTCAGCTTCCTGACTTTTAAGTACCCACTTGAACATTTTTCCCCAGGCTATACACATTGTTACATGCCCTCCCAGTACCTGGTATTGTAACATTGTTATGTCATTAGCATGTGACACCAGCTCCACCATTGTGACCTGTCAAAACTTGGCTATGACACCAAAAAAAGGAAATCTCAGTTTCTGGTGTGTGGATACTGGTACCCAAAACAACTGTCATTGCATTTGGACATATGAGAAGGTTGCCTTGCTATGGAGGGATAAACTAATCATCAAATTGGATTGGGAAATTAGATTGGTGGATTATCCAACTTTCTTTATGTATTCGGTTGCAGTTTCATACACGGGTAGAATTAAAACACATAAATACTACATGTACCATTGTTTTTACCATGACCATAGTAGGATTGTTACACATGCAAGAAATGGTTGATCTGGGTGTTCTTTGTTCCCCTCTCCTGCTGTGCCCATGGAACAATAGGAAAGCGTTTTTCTCCTCTGCACCTTTTTTCATGTAATGCAACTGTTTTGCATGTATCCTTGTATTTCCAGTTTCTGGAGGGGTGGGGTGTCTGGGATTTGCATTTCACAGATAATTTTGCCCCCTCCTGCTTTTGTTATTTTATCTGAGCAGGACTGCCTATTTTGAATAGAAATTGTCTTAAATCATGGGCAAATGAATATTCATGACAGGCATTTTTTCCACAACAATAACCTAGCCAATATTAATGCATTATTTTCAAGTCAGCCAATTATAGGCCTACTTAAGTTAATCTTGATTTCTCACTAAAATTGTGTTGACAAGAAAATTGCCAATGCGAGATGGTCAGTATGTCAAAACAATGGCTTTGGACAAGTTTGGTAGCATGAAGTGAGCAGTGTTACAACATATACAAGACCTAGCATTGTTAGGCTGTGTTTTCGTACACTGGCTCTTCATGGTTTGATGAATATTACAAATCCCAAAATTGGAGGAGGACACAGAGAAAAATGTCATCTGGGTTTTAGTCCAAGCTGTTAAAAGTAGAGATAATTAATGGGAATAGTACTTCCTGTCTCTGTTATCACATCTGTGTCCCTGTCAAACAGCAGATAATGGTGGCTTGCACCATGGCTGTTCCCAGCCAGCCTCGGGACACTCTCCTATCAATCCCAATGGCAAACTCACCCATGCAGAAAGGACTTCATTACTGACATTAGCTACTGCTGTATTAGAAACTTGTGCCTGAAAAATAAATATAAAGTATAACTTTAGAGTTTACCTCTGTTTGTAATTTAACAATTAATGGACACGACAATAAGACTATTGGGTAAAATTGTCTGTAGTTGGTCAGAAACTTAGCTAAATTTTGTAATAAGTGACTGACTCATTACAGGTACTAGTATGTCTTCTTGTAAGTCTCTCTCCTATGTTTGAGAATTAAAACCACAACATGCTTATAACATGCACAGAGAACTGGAAAACAGCCGATACCACCCAAATAGACTAAAGTACAATTTCTGAGGGTCATTTTTCTGTTGAGCTTGTAACTTACAGGAGGCAAGAAAATAACAAGCAAGATTTGTTTTCTGCTGAAGGGAAGGATGCATTGAAGGAATGTTTTCATTAGGAGGTTCTGCCCAGATGGAACACCTCAGAAATAATCAGAACCAGAACAGCCCCCAGTGTACATGATCCACCTTTCCTTTTATTGGAAAGATGATATCAGAGGTTAGTTACTGGGGAGAGGGTCTTCTGTGATACAACTTTTCTGCAGACAATTTCCTTCAGTTGATAAAAAAAGGGAGCTGGTAGAAATGGACTCTCAGTAGCAGATGAAACTCTACATCCATTGTTTGTAGCCCTTCCTGACCCATGTGCTGATATATTGTGCTCCAAGGAACAATTATATGCTTGTGTTGTACAACATTTTTGCCGGGCTGTTTTGG